GCGCTGCATGGCGGAGTGCAATTGACGTTGGCAATTCTTCGGCGTCAATTTTGGATCCCGGGAGGTAGGTGACTGGTGAGACAATTAATACATAAATGTCTGCCGTGTATGCGATGGCGGGCGGCTTCTCCACAACCTCTCATGGGTGATCTGCCGCGGGCTCGAGTAACGCCTTCGCGACTATTCACGATGACTGGAGTCGATTTTGCGGGACCTGTTTTCCTTCGGACAATTAAGGGAAGAGGACACCGAGCGTACAAGGGATACATCTGCGTGTTCATTTGCTTGGCGACAAGAGCAGTTCAGTTAGAAGTTGTCACTGATTACACAATGGAAACTTTCCTTGCTGCATTCCGGAGGTTCATATCATGACGAGGCTTGTACAGGGAGGTGTTTTCTGATTGCGGCACCAACTTCATTGGAGCGGATGCGAAGTTTCGAGCACTCTTTCGTGTATCGAGTCGAGAGTCACGGAAGTTAGTGGAGCACCTGGTTGAAAAAGGGATCCGGTGCCGATTTAATCCGCCATCAGCTCCACACTTTGGAGGTATGTGGGAAGCTGTCATCAAAAGCGCAAAGTATCACATTCGCAGGGTCATCGGGAAGGCTACACTCACTTACGAGGAGATGGCTACGCTAATAGCTGAAGTGGAGGCCTGCATGAATTCGAGACCTATTGTTGCAATGTCAGACGATCCTGAAGATCTATCACCATTAACACCAGGACACTTTTTGATTGGAGCACCTTTGTTGTCCGCACCTGAACCACTTCTAACGGAAGAATCTGCATCGCGGCTTACACGCTGGAAGCTCTTATAAAAGATGCGTGACCACGTATGGTAACGGTAGTCACAGGAGTACCTGACATCTTTATTGCCTCGGACCAAATGGAAAACACCTTGCCCTGCTTTAAAGATTGGACAACTTTGTCTAGTGCGTTCTGAGATCACCCTTCCAGCACGGTGACCACTGGCTCGAATTGTGCGCTTTCATCCAGGCTCTGATGGACAAATCAGAGTGATCACAGTGCGCACTTCTTCAGGAGAGCTGGTGAGACCTGCGGTCAAGGTAGTCCCTTTGCCTGAGGGAGGAGAAACATAAGCAGTACTTGTGGTCGTGGAAACTTCATCTTCAGGAATCAAGTTGACTGCTCGATTTTGATCAGAAAATATTTTTCGTTGAAGATACCAACGAGGCGGGTGGCATGTTGCGAGCCACACGGTACACTCGTGATACGTGCGATATATTGTCGCTCGCGAGAGGCGATTGTCTGCGATTAGCTGACAACATCGTGTCTGCTGTCGCTAGGGACGCGCGTTATTTTCCTTTTATTGTATTGATATTTTCGTGTCTTAGAAACGCGAGATTAAAAAGAAATCGAAACATTCTCGGGAGTTTTTGAACCCGATTCAATACGTTTCTGCACAGCTTGTGACAGGACGTATTTGTGATCGTGCTACGCATTGTCGATTGCTTGTCGTCAATCGCAATTTATCCATTGAAATACTTCTTCATAATAATTGCGTGCGGTATTTACAAAGTTTACCGAGTGTTATTGAATTTGCGTTCACATTTTTAGTTCTTGTTAACGTTTCTGAGAGTAAGTACGTCGCGGAACTCTCACGCGTGTGTTGTGCCCCTTCAAGGAAGCAATAAATTGAAGAATCATTGTGTTATTGTTAATGCGCCGTTGTGTTATTTTGAATTGAACTTTACGCTCACAAGAGACTCTTGTTCACGTGCGCACAGAGTGAGTGAGTGAATATTCGATAATAGCCGTTTATTTAAATTATCCACTACGTCTTACACGATTTGGGTCTTAGCGGCGGACCGTGCTTTAATCCTGTCTTTTAAAGCAGGTAAACATTGCGGTGACAGAATAGATGACGGAATCCCGTGTTTATATCGTGACGTGGTATCGACGGCCGAGTCGGTGTTTAGGCGTATCGGTATTCGTGGAATTTAAAGAGAGCTGCCGCTTGGTGACGCTCGCGGGGCTAGCGGAGAGCGGGCGCGGTGTTGTTACGGCGCGTTGTGTTGTCGGTTCGCGTGAAGGCCCGGTGTTTTAAATATCGCAGCGGTTTTGCATCGGAGTGCAAGACGGCGGAATGCACCTGCTATTCGCGGTATCGTGCCTCCTTACAGAAAACGGTGGACTCGGCCGGGCAAGCCTGGTCGACGTGCAGTCGGCAGCGGTATATTCGCGGTTCGCGGCGGTCGGCGGTACCTCCGGTGAGGTGCGGACGAAGAGACGCGCGTTGTCTCTAATTTCGCGGCGCGGAATGATACTCCGGGGCGTTCGCATGTCCCGGAAGCGCAAGACCCGATGACGAGAGTGGAGTGGCCGAGGTCGAGAAAACTCCATAGAGGCGGCGAACACACCGCCCTGACTCGTGCCGATCCCCAGGTCTGTCACGGGCAAGAAAGCCGGGAGCTCTCGGTGGAGACGACGAACACACCGTTCCGAGAAGGAGGTTAGAATCCAGTGCCCGCGACTTACACGGGAGAGACAGCGTACGCACTACCTCGGTCTTTACCGGATGGAAGGATGTCGATTCGGCTGCATAAACGTAAAAAAAATCACTCGGCGATCGAAACTTGCAATTTTGCGTGTAATATGCGAAGAAACGTGATTGTCGCGTGAATCTTGCGTGTCTCATTGTTAAATCGTGAAGGAAAGCAAACTGAAGAGTGTGATTGAAGTATACCGCTTTATTATGTTATTTCCACCTTACAACGTTGAAGAATTCATTCGGCGAGTGATTCTTGCGTTACTTCTGTAGATAACGTGAACTAATGCAAATTCACACTGCGGCTTGAATCTTTTCGATCAAATACGCTAGTTACATGAGAAAATGTTAAAGAAATCACTCTGTGAGCGAAACTTGCAATTTTGCGTTTAATTGGCGAAGAAACGTGATTCTCGAGTGAATCTTGCGTTTCTCAATGATATGCAGTAAAAGGAAGTAAAGTGAAGTGTGCAATTGAATTATTTTGCTTTTATATTTATTTTCTACGCTACAACGTCGAAGAATTCATTCGGCGAGCGTTTCTTACGTTTCTATTGTAGAAAACGTGAACTAATGCAAATTCACTCTGCGGCTTGTACCTTTTCGTTCAAATACGCTAGTTTCATGAGAAAACGTCAAAGAAATCAATCTGGGAGCGAAACTTGCGATTCTGCGTGTAAGAGGCAAAGAATCGTGTTTGTAGAGTGAATCTTGCGTTTCTTAACGTTAAATCGTAAAAGGAAACAAATTAAAATTTGTGATTGAAATATTCTGCTTTATTATGTTATTTCCACGCAACTGCGTCGAAGAATTCAATTGGAGAGCGTTTCTTACGTTTTTCTGTAGAAAACGTCAACTAAAATTCACTTTGCGGCTAGATTCTATTCGTTCGGTGAGTTGAATTTTTCATTCCACAGACAATCAGGATTCAACTATGTGGTTAACGAGTCGATAAAACAGCGCTATCACATCTACCTGTACGTTTCAATCGACCGAGTAGATATTCAAACTATAAGAAAAAAAGAGAGAGAAAAACAGCGCGAACGAATATGAACGCGGAGGAGGAGAAGGAAGAGACTCGAAATTTACTCGAAACTGCCATCGGCATTGATTCGCGCAAGGCTTCTCACGCTTGGATACGACGATACGAGCGTTGTTTGGAATCTCTGCGCGTCAGATGTCGAGATAGGCATCGATGAATCTTCACTGGTAGACGACATTCTTTGATCTTTCGAATAGCACAACTAAAAGGTGCGAGATACGCTTTAGATCAACGATTCGTACGAACGGGTGCGGGCCATGCCGCCGCCGCGGAATTATCATGAGTCGAGATCGAAACGGCTTTCAACAATCGCGTGCTGACCGGCGCGGTGATAAATTCACGCTACATCGAACCTCGACGATTTCTCGAAGACGCGCGACCATTGGTTCTCGCTCGAGTGCGCGATTATCTCGACAGATACGCGTGCTTGAAGATACTAGGTGTAGAAGTATGAAGCCGGAATTTCCCCCAAAAAAACTGCTCTTGGAAATAGTGTTTCGAGTGGTTCAAAAAATTCAAAAGTGGTGATTTTGACGTGAGAAACGAAGAGCGTGGGAAACCACCGAAAAAGTTCGCAGACAACGAATTGCAAGCCTTATTGGATGAAGATGATACTCAAACTCAACAAGAACTCGCGGATGAATTGAATGTGACGCAGAAAGCTGTCTCAATTCGTTTGAAAGCCATGGGAAAGATTCAGAAAGTGGGAAAATGTGTTCCGCATGAACTGAATGAAAGACAGCAAGAAAATCGAAAAACCACTTGTGAAATGCTGCTCGACAGATACAAAAGAAAGTCCATCGTATCATGACAGGTGATGAAAAATGGATATATTTTGAAAATCCTAAGCGTCAGAAATCATGGGTGAATCCAGGCGAACCATCGACATCCACTGCAATTGCTTTGGAAAGAAGACAATGCTCTGTGTTTGGTGGGATCAGAAGGGTGTAATCTATTATGAGCTGCTAAAACCTGGTGAAACCGTTAACACTGATCGCTACCAACAGCAAATGATCGATTTAAATCGAGCATTGCGTGAAAAACGACCGGAATATGGAAAAAGACAAAAGAAAGTTATTTTGCTCAATGATAATGCCCCATCACACACAGCAAAACGAGTCAGGGAAACGATCGAGGCATTCAGTTGGGAAATACTAACACATGCGGCTTATTCTCCAGACTTGGCTCCGTCCGATTATTATCTATTCGCATCAATGGGACACGCTCTCACTGAACAACGCTTTAATTCGTATGAAAATGTACGAAAATGGCTCGATAGCTGGTTCGCTTCAAAAGAAGAAATGTTTTTTTGGCGTGGCATTCATAAACTGCCGTTGAGATGGGAAAAATATATAAATAGCAATGGACATTATTTTGAATAAAATATTTTTTATCATTTTCGAACAACAGATGTGTAATTTTTACAAAAAATTCCGCTTTCATATTTCTACACCTGGTAAATACTACATTTAACGGTGAATTTATCGCACAACCCAACATCACTGTTAAAGAAATTCCTACGAAAAATCAACCGCTGTTTCGTACCTCCGATCTCGACGATTGGTACACCAGACACGTAATCGATAGAATTTGAACGTCTTTGGAAGATTTTCAAGAACGTGACAGCGATTGGGCGTTATCGCGCATTCTGAATCTGCTTGTAAACATTAACAAATACAATCCTATGCGTGCGCGATGTTGGATACAAATATCGTGCAATATCAAGCTAAGAATGCAATCGTTAACGTGCGCACGAACGATAACGCGTGTTTTGCGTGGGCGGTGACCGCCGCTCTCTATCCGGTGAATCATCACACGGAGAGATGCAGCCAATATCTGCATTATTCAACAGTATTGAAACTCAATGGCATCGAGTTTCCGATGACCCTGAAACAAATCGCGCGATTCGAACGTTTTAATGAACTGTCCGTTAATGTGTTCACTCCTCCAGAGGGAGAAGGTGGACGAAAGAAAAAGAACACAGATATCGTTCCTCTGCGCCTCGCTGACAACAAAAGAGACGTTCATGTGAATTTATTATACCTGACAACACCACGACATAATAATAATAATAATAATAATGATACTGACAATACTCGCGTCACAGGTCATTTCGCGTGGATAAAAAATCTGTCTCGATTACTATCATCACTATTAAGTCGAAATACGCGAAGGAAACACATCTGCGAAAGGTACGATGATATCTCCTCCTCCTCCTCTCACCCGAGGAAGGAATAAATGTGTTTTTTTTTAAATACAAAATGTATCCTTTTTCTTCTTCTTCTTCTTTATCTTACAGATGTCTTAATTACTTCTACACGCGTGACAAACTGATCGCTCACAGCGTCGACTGCGGTGTCATGAACGATTGTGCCATCATATTGCCAGATAACGAGGACAAATGGCTCTCTCATCGCAATTACGGCAGAAAGGAACGCCTGCCATTGGTTATCTATGCGGATATGGAATGCATATTGGAAAAATAGAACAACGGAGAGGTCCCCGTTGTCAACAGCGGCTCTTACGCATATCAACATCACAAAGCGTTCAGCGTGGGCTATTATTTGTGCTGCGCACTCGACGACGACGACGACGAACTCGCTTCCGGTAATCACTTTCGTCGCGGAGACGATTGCGTCTCTTGGTTCGTTGACGAACTCGGCGCGATCGCGGAGTGCGCGTACACGTTACTATCCGCAAACATCAAACCTATGAAGAAACTAACCCCGACAGAGGAACGCGATTTCGCCAGCGTCGACGCGCGCTGCCACATATGCGGTGGACCATTCGAATCGGACGGCGACACCCGAGTGCGCGATCATTGTCATCTAACGGGTCGTTACCGAGGCCCCGCACACTCACACTGCAATCTCAATTATCGCAATTCGCACATCATCCCCGTGTTCTTTCACAATTTATCGGGTTACGACGCACACTTTATAATCGAGCGAATAGCCAACTCGTTTGAAGGTAGCGTTGATCTGCTGCCTGTTGCGAGTCCGAAACGTCGCGGTAATGTGGGGTTGCCCGGCACAGCGCGGTAGAGCAGGAGGAGGTGGTGAGGCGCGATACTTAATAAAGTGCTTTGTGATTGATAAAAACTGAACTGGTCGTTTATTACTTGATTGCCCGATACAATTTTACGTACGCATCCAACAGCGTGTCGGTGCTCGAGAGTTGAAAGTTTGAGTCGCACGTTACAATATTGCGTACGCGTCCGACAGCGTGTCGGTACCCGAGAGTTGAGAATTTGAGTCGCTCGTTACAATATCGCGTACGCGTCCGACAGCGTATCGGTATCCGAGAGTTGAGAATTTGAGTCGCTGCCGCGCCGGTCTTACGTCCCCTTTTATCCTCGTCCTATGATTTAATCGGAGGGGACGGTGTTGATGTGTCAGCGTCATCTAAATGCTGACCATCCTGATTTCGATATCTCTATTACAGGAATGCCAGGTTGCATTTCTGCATAGCGACGTTTGGTAATTCGGAGCCGTGACCCCGTGGTCTTTGACATATTTTATCGTTGCGCTTACAACATGCCGATCAACAAGGAAAGGTACCTGTCTTTCACGAAACATCATCATTCACAAAAACATCAAGTGCGCACGCGACAAGTGGAGACAGCGGGTGAAACTACGTTTCGTAGATTCGTTCCGATTTCTCAGTACAAGCCTCGATAAATTGGCGTCGTTTCTCGACAAGGATAAACTACGCGCGACACGATCGACGTTCTCGCACCTAACCGCGAGTGATTTCGCACTGCACATACGCAAAGGTGTGTTTCCGTACGAATAGGTCGACAGTGCCGCGCGATTAACGGAAACCGAATTACCGTCACGCGACGCTTCCTACAGTTCGTTGAGCGAGGAAATTGTCAGCGAGGCCGACTACGAACACGCCGAGACCGTGTGGAGACGATTCGACGTATGTAATCTCGGCGAATACAGCGACCTGTATCTGAAAACTGACGTGATGCTGCTGACCGATATCTTTGAGAACTTTCGCCACGTGTGCACCGACAGTTACGGCTTAGACCCGACACATTATTACACTTTGCCGGGCTACACGTGGGACGCCATGCTGAAACACACCAATGTGCGTCTCGAATTACTGACCGACATCGACATGATGCTGTTCGTAGAGCGCGGTATACGCGGCGGACTTAGACAATGCTCGAACAGATACGCGCGCGCCAACAATCGATATATGTCGGACAGATCGAGCAGCAGCAGCGAAGACGCGTCTCATGAGTCGTATCTAATGTATTACGATGTGAACAATCTGTACGGCTGGGCAATGTCCGAATCCCTGCCTTACGGTGACTTTCATTGGCTCGACAATATCGATATCGCGCGCCTCGACGTAACGTCCGTTTCGTCGAATTCAGCGATCGGTTATATCCTGGAGGTCGATATCGCGTATCCGCGCGAACTGCACGACGCGCATGAGGATCTTCCGTTTTGCCCGACGCGCGAATGCCCGCCCGGTAGCGTAGCCGCAGCAACAACAAAAAATTACTGGCTACACTGTGGGATAAATCGCGCTACGTCATTCACTATTGATGTATGCAGCAATGCATCGCGCACGGACTCTCCCTGACGCGAATTCACCGCGCCTTGCGATTCGCGCAATCACCGTGGCTCCGTGGCTACGTTGAACTCAACACGGGCTTTCGCATCGGCGCGTCCAACGCGTTTGAGAATAATCTCTACAAGCTCATGAACAACGCGGTGTTCGGCAGAACCATGGAAAACGTGCGCGAACACCTGGACGTGCGTCTCGTGACGCGCTGGGACGGACGTTACGGCGCGGAGGCGCTGATCGCGAAACCGAATTTCCACAGCCGGAGCATCTTTTCCGAAGATCTAATGGCCGTGGAGTTGCGCCGACTGCGCGTACAATTTACGAAACCGATATACGTGGGCATGTACGTACTTGAGATCTCGAAGACGCGCGTGTACGAATTTCACTACGATTATATGCTGCCGCTGTATCGCCACATCGACGATAATAATACTAATAACGATTCGTTGTACTGTCGTCTATTGTACACTGACACCGACAGTCTGATTTATCACATCGTCACAAACACGACGACGACGAATTCGTATGAGTGTATGTGGCGCACTCTACTGCGATTCGACTACCCGACGGCCAATGCGTACGATATGCCACGCGCGAACAACTGCGTGCCCGGTCTTGTGAAGGACGAAAATTGCGGCGCGGTCATGAGCGAATTCGTCGGATTACGAACGAAGGTGTACACCTATCGGGTGGACGTACGCGCACGTGTGTCGTGGAGCAACACGAAAGACATCTCGCGGAGCGACACTGAACCCGGGCGCTGGGCGGGGTGCGAGAAGCGGGGAGGATTCAGTTCTTCCCCGCTCCCCGCACCCCGCCCGGCGCCCATGGTTTGTAACCAACCTTGCTCAACTACTCGAGTTATCGCGATTGAACTTGTCCGAATGGAACCGTGAGAGCGATCTCGAATGTATCGGGACTTTACGATTCGAACGTGCTGCATTGCATTCCGGAGAAACAATGGTTCGTTCATGAAGCAAATATGCAAATTGTTTAGCGTTGTTTTTTTATTTTCATTTTTTCCATCATCATACGTACAAAGTGACGTTGCATTTCATCGTGGCTATGATATCTACGCATCTGGCCAATCGTACCGCGAATTCGGCGGAACTGAGTCGCAACAAGTTCGATATTGTTTCGACGTGTGTTGGCACGCGTTTTAGAATAGCTTCGTCGATCGTTAAACCTATGCCGTACGACAAAACAATTTTAAGAGAAGCTAATTCGTACAAATTGTCCGGACTTTGACGCAAAGTTGGAAAATGCTTGGTAGCAGCGGTGACGTCCGTTGTTGAACTAGCGATTTTAACGAACGAATCGATTGCGAAATTATTATTCGATGACGGTACGGGAAACATACACTCGATGGTTTCTATTTCGTACAAATTGCGCACCACGCATATAAATCGCAGAGCGAAAATGTTGGATGAACGAATGGCATAATTGTGAGATCTCTGCGATATTGGTAGAAATTGATCGATGATGTTGTTTTTTTTTACGTCGCAAATTCGTCGAAATTTCCAACATACGTTTCTTCAGTGTCGCCTCTTCGATGAAAAACGAAAAAGGCACAGCCATCACAAACGCGCCATCGTTCAACGAGGTGCGCGAACGATCCGACATCTGTCGCGGTGTCTGTGCAGAATCGACGTGAATGTGTAATCTTTACAGCGACACCACATCGCCACGGATGTCAATTCTTTCTGAGATAAAAAATCGACAGGCTGAAACAATGGAAACATCAAATTTATAAAAAATTTGCGAGATTTTATACACTCGTACGTACCTCGTACATATGCTCGAACATTGCGAACGTGGTCATCGTTTTCACTCCTAGACGTCGTTGTCGGACGCGACACTGGTACGAACTGACGTTGGAAGACTCGCGGTTCACTGCCTTTCTCTCGATAACTCGACTCATTGCCCGTCTCTTTTTACTCGTTTTCCCTCTCCCAATCTTCAGCCAATCTTAGTTTCGGATTGTCATCCGCGTTATCTTTGCAAATCCATCGTAAATCAGGTATTGAGTCGATATCGATGTTTCTATTAACTCGTTTTGATGTAGTCGAGGACAAGTAGTTTTCCTCGTAATCCCTCAAAGAAACGTTCGCTGTGATATTTATCGCTCGTTTGCACGGCGAGTCCCTTTTAAGCATGATTATTTTTTTTATGTTGTCGTTTGTTGAAATAGCAGCACCGGTACCGTCGTTATCCATCGTCGTGAAACGCATTTTAGATGGAGCGTTGAGTCGCGCGCTACATACAAAAGAGTTCCGTTCGTCCCACAACGACAATACCAACGTTCGATCTTTATTTTCCATGTTGTATGTAATTGTGACGCCTTTTAAAGCCGCATTGCTAACACGTACATCATTCATCAATGATTGCAATTTCTTCACATTCACGTCGTGCGAGCCACGATGTACGCGCGTAACAGTTTCGCGCGATGGTTTTCTTCAAAGATTTTTGTTATTCGTTTTCCATCTGTCGAAAGTGTGACTAAACATTTCTTTTCGAAATCATATACGGTGTATTTATAAAACGCGGCATTTTTTTCATTTCCATACTCTCGTGATAAAATACGATACAACGTTTCAGCGTTAATTATCGGAAGGTTCGTCGTATTTTTTGTCAAACCAAAAGTTACAACGAGAAATGTGCACAAAGCCACGATGATGACGATGCAAAAAACGTATTTAAGAAAATCTATCCACATTGCAACGCCCGAACGAAAAGAAAAAAACTACTAACGCTTACAATTCAAAGTATTGTTCTCTCATATCGTACATATAAAGCAAAGTGTTTATAAATGCGGTTTCTGTCTTGATGCAAAATATTTGCATTTCGTAAGATGCAATTTTTTTTCTATCGTTATTTTCGTTAAAAAGTATTAAATTTTTAGGGCATTTCGACAATCGATTTAGTGATGTTTCGCACTCTTCTCTGTGCATCGCACCAATGTTGTGTAAATAACTGTCGTTCTCCTCAAAAATTTCAAACTTTGTATCGCGTTGATGATTGCGAAAATAAAGAGCTGCCAAGTTTCCAATGACGCCGCAACGAAGCGGATTCCAGCACGACAGATGTGAACTTTTTCGCACGATGCTTTGAATTTCGTGATTCGACAAGAATATTGACAATGGTATCGATAGACACAAAGCACCGGCTTGAACCAAAGCTGCGAGATATTCGGAACGATTCGTCTCTTTTTTCTCTTCGCTGAATAAACGAAGCCACTCTGTCGAATATAATAACCGTCAAATCGCATGTCGACAGTTGCCTGCCGGATCGCGTTTCTCGAAATGCGAAAAAACTGGCACAATCGCGCGATGTTTTGCATTCTACCGCGCAACAATCGTACGCGTCTAAGTTTTGAAGAACGCGGTACAACATTTCAATTAGATCGTTTCGAGTTTAGAGTCTGGCCCAGATGAGGTCGTTGCAAGAGAGACGAGATATACTTAAGGACGATTTGTTCGGTTTGAGAACTGCGTCGTCTACCGTTTTGAAATATCGTATCAACGAACGAGAATCCGCAGCTGCGAGTTCTAATATCGTAGCCGCGATCGTTGCTGTGAGTTCGCTGTGTGGTAGTGACTTTGATTTCGAATGAACGCGCAACAAAGCGCTCATCATATCGACAGTGGTGAAATGTAACGTATTTTTGCGCAAAGTATAGTACAGAGCATTGGTTGGATATGAAATATCCAACCAATTTTCAACTTCGCTCAATTTTACTTCCGAAGCGTCGAAAAAATTTGAATCGTCCATCTGCACCAGGGATCGAGGATATTTTTTATCGTCGAGTGCGTTGTAAGTAACGTTGCGAATCGAACGTTCTGCCATCTGTCGAGAAAAAAGGGACGCGATCCCATAAAAGCAATAGCATTACGTGCTTCGAGTAAAGTATGAGGTGAAACACTCACATTAGTCGATAAATCTCTGACGCCGCCTATTAAACGAACTTCGTAGAGAAAAGTTTGCAACTGATTTTTTGGCGATTTGGTCCCAACGTTACATACGCGTATTTTTGCGCAAATACGCGTGAATCCGTGCATAAATCGTCATGTCATACGGCGATATGGAAAATTTTACTGATAGGATCAAAAGTTTCGCAGGATTCGAAGTGTTCTACGAGCGCGGTGTTTCTATCGAAGAAATGGCATTATCTGGATTTTATTATACAGGACCCAACGATACGGTGAAGTGTCACTACTGCAATATTGCGTTAAATGGTTGAACCGTTCACGACATTCCGATATTGGAACATTTGAAATGGTCATCTCGATGCCAATACACCGTCGAAGTTTCGAAGAGGCGACGACAGTCTCCATCGGCGGAGGATCGTCGCAGCAATATCGAAACTGCCGTTGTCGCGAAAACTACAGCTGCAAAAGAAGCAACGGAAGAAACATCGATGGAAATTTGTCGAGACGTTTGCGGATGGAGACGAGAGGGCAAGCCGTTCGAAAAAAAATATGCCGCAATTTCTGCGCGAAGAGCATTCGAACACTGGTCCGATAGAATGCGTACCTTCCAATGTTACGGAATTGGCGAGACTGCAAGTTTGGAACGATCCGCATATTTCACTCCGATCACGGTAGCTCGATTGGTCGAACAAGGATTCGCGAGAAACGGACGCAACGTTGTGTGCTTCGAATGTGGAATGTTATTTGAATTGAACGATCATCGAATAAGCGATATATTGAACGAACACGCCGCTTCGTCTTGCAAATTATTCAACGAGACAGTGGTCGAAACCATGGTTTAATTATTGCTAATCTTTCGTTTTTTTCGACCCTCTTCGATGTTGCGATTCTTTTTTTTGACCGCGACGTTACCATCGTCGTTGATTCTACAGTTCCATTGATTTTTAATTTGCGATATTTCACGCGAGATAGAATGGAATATTTTTTCAATCGCATCTGCGGAAAAAGTTTCGAATTCTCTCAACTTTTTTTCGTCGAATCGATTGAGCACCGTTGTTAATGTGGTGCCTATTGCAAGATCGATGCCTATCGATTCTTTTATCATAATCAGATCATTGTGTAACTCGTAATCACGTTCTCCACACAAACGTAAATTCTCCACTATTTCCACGATGCATCCTAATCTTTTCAAATTTTCAACAGTCGCGAATTGTTTGTACGTGTTGTAAATCATAGTCAACGATTGCACCGTGAGCATTGTATACACCATTCTGTCTAATGGATTTTCCAAAACGTACGACATCACACCGAACATATTGCGTTCCACTCGCGGTTCATCGTAAGCTTCGCATGCCAACTTCAATAATTTTTTGTTCGTTATCGTATCGTACAGCGCCGTAACATCAGCGTCTATACCTATCAGTTCCAAAAAACGAGCGCATTCGTCAACGATGTATTTCGGAACTTTGCAAACCGTATTCGCCAAAGACACCGCAGCAATTAATGTGGATCGCAAGAGTTGCGATTCTCCCTTGTAAGAACATTGTTCTTTATTGTTGCCGATAAACATCATGTCCGAAAAAAATAAAGAAAAATCAAAGAAAAATTACTCTCCTGCGAAACTGACGATGTTTGAAAGTTCTGTCGATTGTGTCAAATGTTTATGGTTTTTTAAAACATCCGTCTCTTGCGTGTACAGTCGTGGAATTTCGAGCGAAAATGTCAGCGATGTAATGCTCAAACGCAACGAAGAAAACGAAACGTCGTCTTCATTGTCTATGACTGTCAGATTAAAAAAAAAGAATCGAACGCGATCGTCCGATAGTGGTAAAGTAACAATGATACAAAAAAAAATAAAAAAGAAAAAAAAATTACGTCGCAAACGCATCGTCGATGAAATTGTGAAAAAACGAAGAATCGTTGTCGACGGCGACGATGCGAAAAATGTCTCCGCGGCAGATTCTGTTCAGCAGCAGGTGAATGCTGATGATGGAACGTAATATCGGTCGCGCTTTGTCGAGCATTGCCGTAACGTCTTTGCACATCGGACGCGTTAATGATGACGCTCGTATTGTAATGAAACGCAGCGATTTGAACTTATTTCATTTTTATGTAGAAAACGAATCTAGCGAAGTGCAAACAACGAAAAAAAAATAATGATAAAAATTTTTCATCTTACACCGATACAGCCGCAATAATGAGATTGATATCCGTTGTGATACAGGACGTGCAACAATGCAATTTGAACGCGAAAC